TGATAATCCCACATAATCTCAATTTAAAAAAATTGCCACTGAACGCGCAGAGTATGCCTGCAAAAGATTTACTTGATATGTTTTACGGTTCAGATACCAAGTCACATATTCCTTCCCATTATACTCTATGGGCATTCCATTGCATCATTTACCTGTCATTCCATAGAAAAGAGCTATAATCCCAGATAATTTTACTTTTACAATCTACTGCTGTACTTGGGGAACACCTGTGGAAAAGATAAAATTGCTACACAACACAGATTTACCTGCAAATGAGTTTATGTGTTGCCTCCCATAATAGTCTATGGGCATTCTCTTTAGTCATTCACCATTGTCATTCTATAGAAAACAATGATAATACCACTTAATTTCAATTTAAAAAAATTGCCACTGAACGCGCAGAGTATGCCTGCAAAAGATTTACTTGATATGTTTTACGGTTCAGATACCAAGTCACATATTGCTTCCCATTATACTCTATGGGCATTCCATTGCATCATTTACCTGTCATTCCATAGAAAAAAGCTATAATCCCAGTTATTTTTAATTTTAGAATCTACTGCTGTACTTGGGGAACACATGTGGTAAAGATAAATTTGCTACATAACACAGATGTACCTGCAAATGAGTTTATCTGTTGCCTCCCATTATAGTCTATGGGCATTCCCTTTAGTCATTCACCATTGTCATTCTATAGAAAACAATGATAATCCCACTTAATCTCAATTTCAAAAATTGCCACTGAACTCGCAGAGTATGCCTGCAAAAGCTTTACTTGATATGTTTCATGGTTCAGATTCCAAATCACATATTACTTCCATTATACTCTATGGGCATTCCATTGCATCATTTACCTGTCATTCCATAGAAAAGAGCTATAATCCCAGTTATTTTTAATTTTAGAATCTACTGCTGTACTTGGGGAACACCTGTGGTAAAGATAAATTTGCTACATAACAGAGATTTACCTGCAAATGAGTTTGTGTTGCCTCCCATTATAGTCTATGGGCATTCTCTTTAGTCATTCACCATTGTCATTCTATAGAAAACAATGATAATCCCACTTAATCTCAATTTAATAAAAATTGCCACTAAACTCGCAGAGTATGCCTGCAAAAGATTTACTTGATATGTTTTACGGTTCAGATACCAAGTCACATATTGCTTCCCATTATACTCTATGGGCATTCCATTGCATCATTTACCTGTCATTCCATAGAAAAGAGCTATAATCCCAGTTATTTTTAGGTTTAGAATCTACTGCTGTACTTGGGGAACACCTGTGGAAAAGATGAATTTGCTACATAACACAGATTTACCTGCAAATGAGTTTATGTGTTGCCTCCCATTATAGTCTATGGGCATTCTCTTTAGTCATTCACCATTGTCATTCTATAGAAAACAATGATAATCCCACTTAAACTCAATTTCAAAAATTGCCACTGAACTCGTAGAGTATGCCTGCAAACGATTTACTTGATATGTTTCACGGTTCAGATACCAAGTCACATATTGCTTCCCATTATACTCTATGGGCATTCCATTGTATCATTTACCTGTCATTCCATAGAAAAGAGCTATAATCCCAGTAATTTTTAATTTTAGAATCTACTGCTGTACTTGGGGAACACCTGTGGTAAAGATGAATTTGCTACACAACACAGATTTACCTGCAAATGAGTTTATGTGTTGCCTCCCATTATAGTCTATGGGCATTCTCTTTAGTCATTCACCATTGTCATTCTATAGAAAACAATGATAATCCCACTTAATCTCAATTTAAAAAAATTGCCACTGAACTCGCAGAGTATGCCTGCAAAAGCTTTACTTGATATGTTTCACGGTTCAGATTCCAAGTCACATATTACTTCCATTATACTCTATGGGCATTCCATTGCATCATTTACATGACATTCCATAGAAAAGAGCTATAATTCCAGTTACTTTTAATTTTACAATCTACTGCTGTACTTGGGGAACACCTGTGGAAAAGATAAATTTGCTACATAACAGAGATTTACCTGCAAATGAGTTTATGTGTTGCCTCCCATTATAGTCTATGGGCATTCTCTTTAGTCATTCACCATTGTCATTCTATAGAAAACAATGATAATCCCACTTAATCTCAATTTAAAAAAATTGCCACTGAACTCGCAGAGTATGCCTGCAAAAGCTTTACTTGATATGTTTCACGGTTCAGATTCCAAATCACATATTGCTTCCCATTATACTCTATGGGCATTCCATTGCATCATTTACCTGTCATTCCATAGAAAAGAGCTATAATCCCAGTTACTTTTAATTTTACAATCTACTGCTGTACTTGGGGAACACCTGTGGAAAAGATGAATTTGCTACATAACACAGATTTACCTGCAAATGAGTTTATGTGTTGCCTCCCATTATAGTCTATGGGCATTCTCTTTAGTCATTCACCATTGTCATTCTATAGAAAACAATGATAATCCCACTTAAACTCAATTTCAAAAATTGCCACTGAACTCGTAGAGTATGCCTGCAAAAGATTTACTTGATATGTTTCACGGTTCAGATTCCAAGTCACATATTGCTTCCCATTATACTCTATGGGCATTCCATTGTATCATTTACCTGTCATTCCATAGAAATGAGCTATAATCCCAGTTATTTTTAATTTTAGAATCTACTGCTGTACTTGGGGAACACATGTGGTAAAGATAAATTTGCTACATAACACAGATGTACCTGCAAATTAGTTTATGTGTTGCCTCCCATTATAGTCTATGGGCATTCCCTTTAGTCATTCACCATTGTCATTCTATAGAAAACAATGATAATCCCACTTAATCTCAATTTCAAAAACTGCCACTGAACGCGCAGAGTATGCCTGCAAAAGATTTACTTGATATGTTTTACGGTTCAGATACCAAGTCACATATTGCTTCCCATTATACTCTATGGGCATTCCATTGCATCATTTACCTGTCATTCCATAGAAAAGAGCTATAATCCCAGATAATTTTTAGGTTTAGAATCTACTGCTGTACTTGGGGAACACCTGTGGAAAAGATGAATTTGCTACATAACACAGATTTACCTGCAAATAAGTTTATGTGTTGCCTCCCATTATAGTCTATGGGCATTCTCTTTAGTCATTCACCATTGTCATTCTATAGAAAACAATGATAATCCCACTTAAACTCAATTTCAAAAATTGCCACTGAACTCGTAGAGTATGCCTGCAAACGATTTACTTGATATGTTTCACGGTTCAGATACCAAGTCACATATTGCTTCCCATTATACTCTATGGGCATTCCATTGCATCATTTACCTGTCATTCCATAGAAAAGAGCTATAATCACAGTTATTTTTAGTTTTAGAATCTACTGCTGTACTTGGGGAACACCTGTGGTAAAGATGAATTTGCTACACAACAGAGATTTACCTGCAAATGAGTTTTTGTGTTGCCTCCCATTATAGTCTATGGGCATTCTCTTTAGTCATTCACCATTGTCATTCTATAGAAAACAATGATAATCCCACTTAATCTCAATTTAAAAAAATTGCCACTGAACTCACAGAGTATGCCTGCAAAAGCTTTACTTGATATGTTTCACGGTTCAGATTCCAAGTCACATATTACTTCCATTATACTCTATGGGCATTCCATTGCATCATTTACATGACATTCCATAGAAAAGAGCTATAATCCCAGATAATTTTACTTTTACAATCTACTGCTGTACTTGGGGAACACCTGTGGTAAAGATGAATTTGCTACACAACACAGATTTACCTGCAAATTAGTTTATGTGTTGCCTCCCATTATAGTCTATGGGCATTCTCTTTAGTCATTCACCATTGTTATTCTATAGAAAACAATGATAATCCCACTTAATTTCCATTTAAAAAAATTGCCACTGAACGCGCAGAGTATGCCTGCAAAAGATTTACTTGATATGTTTCATGGTTCAGATTCCAAGTCACATATTGCTTCCCATTATACTCTATGGGCATTCCATTGTATCATTTACCTGTCATTCCATAGAAAAGAGCTATAATCACAGTTATTTTTAGTTTTAGAATCTACTGCTGTACTTGGGGAACACCTGTGGTAAAGATGAATTTGCTACATAACAGAGATTTACCTGCAAATGAGTTTTTGTGTTGCCTCCCATTATAGTCTATGGGCATTCTCTTTAGTCATTCACCATTGTTATTCTATAGAAAACAATGATAATCCCACTTAAACTCAATTTCAAAAATTGACACTGAATCTGGAGAGTATTGTGGCAAAATATGGATTTCATATGTGTAATAGTTTTGTCTCTAATTGAAATATTTTGTTTCCATTATTCTCTATGGGCATTCCTTTCACTTCCATTATTCTCTATGGGCATTCCAGTGCCTTGTTAAAGTCTATGGGCATTCCAATCTGTCATTCCTTTTAGTATGTCCCGTCGACAGCTCCCGCTCTGTGACGGTCTGAGCGGTCAGTAAGGAGTGAGTATAAACGCCTGACGTCATGCATGAAGTGTGATCCCGGGGGAAATCTCTCAAAGTGAAGCAGTCACTATGGGTACAATGCAGTGTCCCTGCTGATCGCCCCACAATCACTCTTTGCCCCGGTATGTCATTATAAAGCCCTCCCATACACTCAGTGGCTTCCATTCACCTGCTTGCTTCCAGCTTCTCCGTTGCTATGGCCGACAGACGCCATCTAGCTTCCCGTTAGCAACCACGCACGGCGTGCCGGCGCCCCGCCCACCTGGTGACGTGTCCCAGCGCTGCCTTCCTGCTAGTCCCGATCAGGAGTTTCAATGCACCTAGTCCATCCTCCCCCCGCATTCTCGTGCACTGACGTCACCGCCGCCCGCTCAGACAGGACGTGTTCACCCGGAACAAGCTGAGTGCGCTCCGTGGATCCCGTGACCTATGACCTGGGGCTGCCTGGCCCGGCCCAGCCGTTTACTGCTTAGTGTGCTGAGCCCAGGTGAGCGGGATGGGCAGGGGGCACCATGCAGCTCCGGCCAAGCTATGAGAGGTGAGGGGTGTCTGTGTTTATAAACTCTGCGGCTCTCCCACATTCCCACAGAGCGGTCCTGGCTGCAGTAATAGTAGGACATGGTCTGCGGGTTACCAGGAGCTGGGCACCGTGTGCACAAAGAAAGAGTGTTTTATTTGGAGAAAACCCTCTGTGTGCAGTTATATTCAATAACCTCCAGATAGAATGTGTGGTTGTGATATATATATATATATTATAATAATTATTATTATTATTATTATATCTCTGCCTGTCTGAAATTAATAAAGTGACACCTCTTTGGCAAGGTGTATTTAAAGGGACACAATAGTCATCAGAAACACTACGGCTCAAAGGGACCGTGTAGGCACCATGACAAATTCATCTAAATTAAGTTATGGTGCCAAGAGGCCCCTGGGTGCACTCTCCAAAGTGTGCCTCCACCCCCCAACCATTATTTTTAACTCTTTATCGGTTCATGTATATCAAGTTACATTTGCAGAGGTTAAGACAAGTAATAGGTATAACATGCATTGGATGACAGCGAGTTATCACAGGTATGGCGGTTTAACAAGTTTCATATTGGGTAATGTACAGGTACAGCTAGGTAGTGCACAGTTATGGTACAGCATATCACTAGCATCTAGGTTGGCAGGCCTGTCGGGAGGTACTGACTTTTTATACACTGCTCAGCCATAACATTAAAACCTCCTGAAATGGTTAACATTGATTATATATCGTTACAGTGACACCTGTCAAGGGATAAGATATTTTAGGCAACAAGAGAAAAGTGAGTTCTTGAATGCATGCATTTGGAAGCAACAGAAAATGGCAAGCGAAAAGGTCGGAATCACTTTGACTAGGACCAAATAGTGATGACTGAGTCATAGTCACAGGCGCCCAATGCATGGGGAGCAAAAGCTAGCCCTTCAGGTCCAATTACGCAGAAAAGCTGCTGTAGCTCAAATTGTTGTAAACCTTTGTGCATCAGAGTTTGCTGTGTTTGGGGCTGCACAGAGTGCCAATGATGACCCCCCCCCATCCACTACTGAAAGCGCCTTCAGTTGGGACATGAGTGTCAGAACGGGGACCATGGATCAATTGAAGAAGCTTGCTTATGCTGGTGAATCAGGTTTTCTTTTAGATTAGGTGGATGACTGGGTGCATGTGCATTGTTTGCCTGGGGAAGAGATGGCAACAGGATACAATATGGGAAGAAAGCAGGCTGGCAAAGGCAGTGTTATGCTCTGGGCAATGTTCTCCTGGGAAACCTTGGATCCTGGCATTCATGTGGATGTTACTTTGACACGTACCACCTACCTAGAGATTGTTGCAGACCACATACCCTCCTTCATGGCAATAGTTTTTCCCTGATGTTGGCAGCCTCTTTGATAGTTATAGTGTACACTATCACACTGCAAAAATGGTTTGAGGGACACGACAAAGAGTTGTTGATCATCTGTGGCATGTGCTGAAACAGATCTAATCCATGGAGGCCCCACCTTGCTACTTGCAGACGCTAAAGCATCTGGTGCTCATATCTTGGTTTCAGAGGTCTTGTGGAGTCCATGCCTTAACACATCAGACCTGTTTTTGCAGCAGGAGGGGGACCAACATGATATTAAGCAGAAAGTGTTTTTGTTTTTAAATATTCTTTATTTACAGGAGATAGTCCGTAAGATATGCGGCATGCAGTAGATACAAAATCCATAGCATACGTCATCCCTGGGAAGTAGGAATGTATAATAATGAATATAAGATTACATCATACATATCACAGGTCTGATATGTACTTCAAACTGCTCTCAAAGTCTATGTATTTATTTTTTGAGAAGTCATAAACAAAGAAAACTTAGAGGGATAATTTACAGGGAGGTCCGCAGTGTGTGGTCCCTGACCTAGAGATACTCCACATACCTAATTCCCATTACTTATATATTCCTACCAAGGATCTCAGACTTTGGAAAAGAAGGAGGAAGAGGAGTGCCTAACTTTTGAGGTCCATTCGTCCATAACTACATTTTCTTGAATATATGAAATAACCTCTTGCAATGGAGGTCGGTCAATTTTAAGCCACCCGGCCGCAAGAGCAGTACAAGTGTTAGTAGATTAATTTCTGAGTATGTCCGAGGAACCCCTCAATAGGCCATGAAAGCAGAGAAGTCAATTGGTCTCTGAAGGACCACCACCACTTTGCCTTTTTAACTCTTTCAGAACCCACGTTATTTTTGGACAATGCCACCACATATGTTAATATGTGCCTCCATGGCCGCATAGCTGCCAGCAGAGGTCAGTCCGATTCCTTCCTATTCTACTCAACAGGGGGTTACAGGCCACTAGAACAATATTTTAAACTCCTGCCACTGTGAGAATATACATGTGGATATTTTGGAAGCTGCTTCCCAAAAAGGTAGGTAGATTTAGTGTTGTGGCTGATCAGTATACATAAGTTTTATTAACATGACTCTCTATTTCTTGTATTCCAGTCTGCAGCTGCTGCCTCTGCTCTTACCCGCCTGCATGCCTGACGTCATCAGAAGTGATTCTGTGAGCCACCCAAAGGAATGGCTGTGACTGTCAAGGAGGCAGATCGGGGGCAGAGCAAGCCCAAGTCAAACACAGCCCTAGCGAATCAGCATCTCCTCATAGAGATGAATTGAATCAATGCATCTCTATTAGGAAAGTTTAGTGCCTGCATGCAGAAGGTGGAGACACTAAATGGCAGTAATGCCTCAGGAAGCACCTCTAGTAGCCATCTGAGGCGTGGCCAGTGGAGTTATGCCTAAGTTTTAATGTAAACACTGGGTTTTTGCTGAAAATACAGTGTTTACTGCAAAAGGCCTGAAATACAATAAGCTGTAGTTGTTCTTGTGAATATAGTGTCCCTTTAACATCTTATTGAAAATAAACGGAAACAAAAGTAATGCAACCCCTAAATGACAAAGAATTGAGCAGTGAGACTGCAGGGGCTTAATCTACACACACAAACTGCTTAATTAAGCTAAAGTTGTTTTGATGCCTATAGTGTCTGTTTTTAACATTTCCCTATTGCCCTTTGTTGCATTTATTGATTCATTCTCTTTTATTGTTTAGGAAATGTAGCAGTGAGGCCAGCAACTTCAAAGAGAAAAATTCACTCACCATGCATACAAACTCTGGGCATCCCCTTCATCAGACTGGCAATGGTGAAAGTTCTTCAGTCTGCCTGACCCTTCCTCCTATCAGACACCCTGCTGAAGGGTCAAGTATGACAGGAGATGTGGCTGTAGAGATGCACTCCACAGATTCTGACAGTGGACCAAGATCTGGTTCCAGACAAGCTAGAGCAAACCCTCATGGACGTTTTCAGAATAAACACAGCCATGTGCATACTCAGTCTCATGAAACAGGTGGGACAGAGGCTCCGAATAATACAGATTCAAGAGAAAACAGCAGCAGTATCTCAGAGGCCCTGCACTTCTATCCGTGGTTGGAAAAAAGCTTTCCATATATCTTAATCTTCGGTGCCAAACTTATTGTACAGCACATAACAGGTACTTCTCTATTTCTGTGTAAAGCGCCGACGTGCGCCGACGTGGAGCCTTGCAAATGAAATCACTGCTGTTTCTGATAAACTGCATTGTTTATATTTCGCAAATTCCACAATTCCTAATTCGATAGACAATCGCTAGGAACTCCAGGCTGCAATAGATTCCGTTATTGAATGTGTTTGATGTCATCACCATGCAAAGTATGCTGACATCGGATCATGCCTGTGTCAAATGCTTCCTATGAGAAGCATTGGATTCTGTGTTTCTACTTACAGAAGCTTTGGATTTTCAGATTGCAACAATTGCTGCTCACATGCCATGCATCCTCATTGCTTCTGTATTAGAAATTTTGAAGAGGAGTCTGTCCTGGCTCTGGAATGTGTAAACCCTTGAAATGCAATATCTAAAAGGCAAGCAAAAGCAAGGGGGGACTCAAATCCTCCTCTTTATATGCACTTGCCACATATTGTACCTACAGTATTTTCAAACAACATTAAGAAGATTATTATAATATATATTATCCAACAAAATACAGTGTAGCTGCAAAATTAGCCACTGTAAGTAGCTCTGCCTCACATAGCAAGACAGACTGATAAATATGATAAACCATATATGTGCTTATGTGTATAAACAACATATCAACACTATTATTCATGTAACTAGTGATGAAAATATGTGGAAATTAAAAATGGTCTACATATGTCTGAACATACATACAAGATATAATAAAAGTGTGTGTAAAATATATATATATATATATATATATATATATATATATATATATATATATATATATATATATTGTGTGTGTGTGTTTGAATTTTTAGACATATGTAGACCATTTTTAAATATTTTTTTTGATCTTGTTATATTTAGATTTAGTAAAGTAAACCCATAATATTAAAACCATCTATATATGCAGTGATGGATAACTGAAAACCAATCAAATCAATCACTGAAAAAAATAATATAATAAAGTACATACAAAATGTAATACTGAGCAACAACATATGAAATTCTATACAAATATTTATAGAATAATTTGACCATAAAATAAACTTAATTATAATTCAAGTGGTACATACTGCTAAATCCAAATGTTTATTTAGACCACTCTACTTTTTAAGTGTCTAATTGGTAGATCCAATATGTTTCTCTCTGCCTGAGTATAAGCAATCTGTCTCCTCCTCTGTCTCTAGGTGGGATTTGTTTTAAACCTTATACTATACTAACTTCAAACTATATATACTATAAACCTTATACTTTATCACTATTTTGACTTGTTAAAAAAAATATAAACCATAATTCCATATTTGTTTTGATTTGGCTAATATGGCCCTATGTTGCTCCAAAACCTTTTCCTTTAGTGGTCTATACGTACGATCCACATATTGACTGCCACAAGGGCATTCTATTCAAATCCAAATTTACTATCACACTTAATGATACTGTTTAAAGTACATTTCTTGTCTGGTGTACTTCTTCCAGTGTTTAATTATTCCCTCGAGGTACATACTTGCGCATTTTATATCCTTTCCTCCCACATGGATACGTGCCTTTCACATAATAAAAATTATTTGTTTGTTTATACCATTAAAATTCTTAATTTTACTGGGGCCAAAAGATTTTTAATTGTGGTGTTTCGTCTATGTACCACTCTTTGCATACGATCACTGCTTTCAAAAAGGTATCCTGTTGTAGGACACTCCAATGCTTCTCTGTGATTTTTTTTTTTTTTTTTTTTGATGTGGCTTGCTCTTGCATTATACGTAGTGCAAAAAATGGTTCTTTCTCAAAATTGTATCATTTTTTTGGCATCCCTGAATCCTTCTGCAAAAGAGATTCTCTACTCCATATGTCTTACTTCTATTAGTGTATTATTTAATGACTGTGGATCATAATAGTTCTCTAAAAATCTACAAAAATCTTCCATTCACTTTCTACATCTTCCGTTCTGCTACAGTTTCTTTTTAATCTCATGTATTGACTTATAGAATTTTTATTTTTTATCTTTGATGGAATATGTTGCTTAAAAATCTTCCTTTTAAAATGTCATCAGGGATTCATTATACATATGTTTTTGTTGAGGTGTGTAATTTTCGGAACACTTATGAGACCAGTGTTCCGTAAAGGGCTGTATCTTGTCTAGCCTGTCATACAATGTGTCATCTCTAGGGAGCACTGTAATTGTTACAGTGTAGGATAATTGCTGCATTTTTTGTCAAATGAATCCCTCTTCATAACTTCAGATAAAAGAAACCAAGATGGGATACTTGTGCCAGTGGGACATTACGCTGGAGTTTTTGGGGTTTTTTTGGGAGGGGGTTAGTGGGATTCCATTATAATTGTCCTCTACCCATTACTAGGGTCAGTGCCTTTCAATATTTGTTATTTCTTTAATGGAATGCCATGTGGGCGTTTTTTTGTTTTGGTGTCTCGTGATTTGCAAAGAGATATTGTCTGGAAAACAAAGTGATTTGCTCATAAATATGCAGAAATATATCATTTGACTTAAAAACGCTTAATGGGACACTATAGTCACCCAGACCACTTCAGCTCAATGAAGTGGTCTGGGTGCAATGTCCCTCAGGTTTTAACCCTTCAGATGCAAAAATAGCAGTTTCAGAGAACTTGCTATGTTTACATTTGGGGTTAAGCCAGCCTCTAGTGGCTGTCTTCCGGACAGCCACTAGAGGCGCATCTACGACGCTGGAGGCATATTATGCCTCCATCGTGCAGAGTGACCATAGGAAAGCATTGAAAGCATGCTTTCCTATTGACAGCTTGAATCTGCGCGCAGCACTTGTCGCGCATGTGGCTCTGCTGACGGCGGGGGGAGGAGAGGTCACCAGCACCAAGGGGGCTCGGCGCTGGAATAAGGTAAGCTGCTGAAGGGATTTTAACCCCTTCAGTGCCGCGGGAGGGGGACCCTGAGGGTGGGGGCACCCTCAGGGCACTATAGTGTCAGGAAAACCGCTATGTATTCCTGACACTATAGTGATCCTTTAAAAACAAACATGTATTCCTGACACTGGTGTTAAAACCACCATTTAGGTGGCTTGCCCCCCTTAAAAGGGTTAAAACGTACATTATTTCCAGCTCTCCCTGGGTCTGCAAGCAATTACTATGCTCACCAGAACAACTACATTAAAGGTCAATGAAGTGGTCTGGGTGCCAGGCCCCCCAGATTTTAACCCTTCAGATGTAAACATAGCAGTTTCAGAGAAACTATGTTTACATTGCAGGGTTAATCCAACCTCTAGTGGCTGTCCTTGTGACCTAAGGATGCTATAAACGAGTTTGTTTTACTGAACCTATAGTGATCCTTTAAGCTGTAGTTTTTCTGGTGACTATAGTGTCCCTTTCAAATAATTTAATGACTCAAAACGTCAATGCTGTTTGTGATGCAAGGAGTTTCCATAAATTGAAGTATTTCAGAGGTGGTGAAATTTGGAGGTACCCAATTTTCATCTGCCACAGAGGGGCATTCTGATCACCTCATTGTAGATGGTGGTTTGCTGGAAGCACAATCAGATGAAGCCTTGCATAGCGGAGGGTGTAAGTGTCTCTGTCCACAATGTTAAATGTGTCACTCTTTAAGCATTTTAGAATGGTGTAAGCCTCTTTCACTAAATAGGAACGAACCATGAAGATGATTTATTGCAGTATAGAAAGCTGTGATCAGCACTGGAAGGGTAATTTATTTTTGTGTAAAGTAACAACAAAAAAATTACTCGAACAGGTCAGCTTGATCACAGAGAATGCTCTGAGAAGACTGAACAGATACAGTATAGTCATCAGACAGCAGGCAAAGGGTGAAAAAAGTCAAAATGAATAAATCTGTCAAAAAGGGTCAAATTAAAAATGAAAACATCTGACCCCCTATGTACTGATTGCACTGATCACTGCAGTAACACTGATCACAGCAGTGGAACAACACTCTTCCTCCCCTCTCCACCATAATACACAGTAAATATGTTTTTAGCGAACACATGACAATGTAGCAAGGATCTGTCTGCCTTTCTCACCTAAGATCAAACGTAAGAGTAAAGAGAGGCAGAAAACAATGTCTCAAACAATGTTTGCATTCATTGGCTGTGACATTGAGAGCAACCGTGGTGACAGGCTGTCACTGCGGCAATTGGCTGCTGGGGGACTGCTGGAGTTGCAAACCAGTAGTGTTTGACTGACTGGTGGGAAAGGGGGAACAAAATAGTTTTACGTCCTTAATTTTTAAGGGGTCCATTAATTGAAAGAACACATTGAGGGGGAGGAGAAATAAAGCTTTGATAATTCAAATAATTAATAAAGCATGTTAAGCCCAAAACCTATCAAATGCATTAAAGTTGTATTGAGGCCCAGAGTGTCCTACCTAAATGTCCTTTATTTTTTATGGATATTATTTTGTGTCCAGCAACAGTGTATCAAATGTGAACACCTAGCATATGGGATATAAATTTAGCTCATTGGCAATTTAGGGACAGCTGCTTCTGTACAGCTTCTTACAAAAGGCAAAAACTATTGCTGTCCCTGTTGGTGATATATGGGGTGTGCTAAATCATCAGGTCTGCCTTTCAGTGACACTACTTGAATGAGATGTATTTGTGTGTGTGTGTGTGTGTATGTATGTGTGTATATATGTGTGTGTATGTGTATATATATATATATATATATATATATATATATATATATATATATATATATATATATATATATATATATATATATATACACACACACACACATTTTATTGTCTAACAAAGTAACTTTAGAGTGCAAAATCACTATATTTCTCCTCTTCAGGTTTGCTTTATCAATGTGACCCATATAATTTTTCAGCAATGACTAGATTGGTCAATGATAAAACACAAACAGTAACATCTAGTAGTTCATCAGTAGCAGCTTAGTGTTTATTCAGTTTCTGTAGATCGTGTTAATAATTCTTTACTTTACAGGACATTTTGCATGTTTGTTGCACATTCTATTCTGCCATCTAATGGTGTGTCTTAAATTCATGGATTATCACACAAACATTTGATTGACTGAGGTTGAACCAGAAAGTAGCACGTCATGATCAAAAGAGATTAGCATGAAAAAATGTTTAAGTTCTAAATAACATATTCACAGAAATCAAAGCTGCTCTTGATTTTCTTGATCTTCTATGGTTTTGTTTAGTTTTTTGCAATTGCAGAGGAAATCATTACATATGTACAGCTGTTCGTGGCTAAGACCGTCAAAACAAAATGCGAATTGAGCAAAACCGGTGTTCTTTAGGCAAATAGCGCTGCAGCATTAGTTGATCTTTTATAGGCATAGACTGGCATTATTCATTTAGTGATTGTGAAGGAAATAGTCAGTGGGACCTACTTGGACAGACCTGTCCTGCAGACCATACCAAAACATGAACATCTTCAATTACCACATCCACTTTTTTTAATATAATTCTACTAAATGAACTAAGAAAAAAAATTCTTTCTTAAACAATATGGCCCAATATGTTAACATTATTGCCTTTTGTTTATTTTCTGTATTGTTTTATATTCTTTAATTTTATAAAAAAAGTTTTTTTGTTCATTCTAAAAAATATAATTTAGTTTTTGTTTTACTTTTCCTTGCCTTTGTTGCTTTTGATATTTATTTTGCTATTTTAACACTTTATTATTTTGTTTTCTAATAGGCATTTCTGTTGGAATTGGTCTGCTAACAACTTTTCTGTATGCAAACAAATGCATTGTAAATCAGGTTTTTCTAAGAGTAAGTAAGCTTATGTTTGAAAATCATTCTACCAATTGTAGACAAGTAACGCACACACACATTTTTTTTTTCGTATTTACAGCAGATTAGTGTACATTTTATTTAGAGCAAATTAACTGTTTACTTGCCATTGTCACATGATTTAGTAGCTTTCTTGTGTGTATGATCCTACTTATCCATACGTTTCTCCATTGGGTCATACATGACATATCCATTAGTACATACCATCAGCACAGGATAAATGATTACACATCATAGGACATAGCTTTGGTATACCTTCAAAATAAACAAGGTCAAAGCAGATGCTTGCGTACAGTATAAAACCTACTCCAAAATTATTTAAGTTAAATAAACCATACTATTATTCAAGTTGAATAAAACATTGCCAAATGGCCATTTTTTTGCATACACAAAGAAATATAAATAAATAAATCTCTACTCGTATAGAGAAGTTGGGTAGAAACCACAAAAAATAAAAAATCTATGTCTTCTCTTGTTCTAAACACCCCATGTAAAATAAAATGATTGCTCACAAGTTACTTTCACTTACTACCTCTGCCCATTGCCAAAGATTATGCCCCAGGTAAGAAAAACAAATCCTTACTTTTTCTGATTGTATAATTTAAATGGTAAGGTTTAAATTAGACATCACTAGTTGTCTTGCTATGTTGGATGATTTTTTCTTAGCTCAGAGAGTGGAGGCACCCATTGCCTTTTATTTACTAATTTAATGCATCCATCCTGAAACTGGATGTGACTTTTTATGTCTTCCGAGCTGTGATGTTTGCTAATTAGCTGCCTGGATACAGCTGGAATTATTTGCAGATTTAAAGGGACACTATAGTCACCAGAACAACTACAGCTTATTGAATTTGTTCTGGTGAGTAGATTCATTACCTTCGGGCCTTTTGCTGTAAACACTGTCTTTGCAGAGAAAATGCAGTGTTTACATCACAGCCTAGTGATAACTTCACTGGCCACTCCTCAGATAGCGGTTATAGATCCTTCCTGGGTCATGGCTGCCTAAAATGCATCCATACATTCAGTGTCTCCTCCCTCTGCATGCAGACACTGAACCTTCCTCACAGAGATTAATTGATTCAATTCATCTATATGAGGAGATGCTGATTGGCCAGGGCTGTGTTTGAATCATGCTGGCTCTGCCCCTGATCTACCTCTTTGTAAGTCTCAGCCAATCCTATGGGGAAGCACTGTGTTTGGATCAGGCTACCACTTCTGATGATGTGCGCAGACTGCTTGTTTTTCTGAGTCTAACAGCATGCTGAGTTACAGCTTCAGGCTTGAATACAGTAAGATTTTGCTTTATTTATGGAGGCATGAGGGACCCAGGGGGGCTAGATGGTGGTTTTAACAGTATAGGGTCAGGAATACATGTTTGTGTTCCTGACCCTATAGTGATCCTTTAAAACTATGTTTGAACTAAAAGAACCACCAGAACACCCAGAATTAATTAATACTGCATAAGAAATGTTGAACTATAATTTATCTGTACATAAAAAAAAAAAATCTGGATTTTTGCTGGTAGGTAGATCAGATGTAGCCAAAACCTGAATTAATCAATTACTAGATTTTGAACATTTAAGTGGTTTCACTATACATGCATCATGCTTGAAATGTTTTATTTTGTTTATATAGAAGATGGCAATACTACTGAGGATATGTTTGCAAAGTTGTGTTCATGGGTTTTTTTTTTGTTTTGTTTTTTAAATCTTTTTAAATTCATGCCTACTGATCAATTTTATTTGTTTTGGCACGGATTAATTTTATCATTGTGGTGGTATATATTTACACAAGTAGCATTTTCCATGTAATGTTTGCATTTATTTACAATGAATTTCAAAAAAGCATCAATCTCCTTTTTTGCACTTTATGTACAACTAGGTCATATTTTTAAGTATATAGTTTGCTTTACAGCATATTGTTTCTGCCATTTAATGTTAAAGGGACACTATAGTTACCTGAACAGCTACAGGTTAATTTAGCTGTTCTGGTGTCTATTGCCTGTCCTTGCAGGCTTTTTCATGTAGACTCTGCCTTTTCATAGAAAAGGCAGTGTTTACATTACTGCCTAGGAACACCTCTAGTGGCAGTCACTCAGATGGCCACTAGAAGTGCTTCCTATGGCAGTGCTGAACAATTTGCAATGTGCAGCACTGATGTTCAGCATCTCCATGCTCTACATGAGGAGATTCTGATTGATGCAGCGTGTTTTGCCGTGCATGCAAATAGGAAAGCATTGGATTGGCTGAGATCATCCCATACCATGGGATGAGAAACTAGGCAGTAGAACACTTGTCCTTGCAAATACTCAGTTGGCAAAACATTCTATTTAGTACTTGGCAGCCTTTCAACAGTTTCTCACACATGTAATTGGCTGGTGTCAGTATATTTCCTCTGGTCTGTTTATCTGGGCTACTCATGGTAGTGTTGTAGAAATCCGTCATATATTAAGTAAGCTGATGCTGACTAAATATAGTTTATTATAGTGGTTATTGAATAAGGAGGCTGTGGGTGCAGTCAGTTTATCAAAACATTTTGAGCTGTATGCCATAAAACAGGGAATTTCCAGTCACCATAACCATGTTTTGGCTGCACAGCAGGATTTGGCTTTGCTGAATTACTGCAGCTGTTTCTGCAATAGCAAACTGCTGTTGATATAATGCATGCCATGCTAAAACAGGTCATGATAATTGGGGGGGGGGGATATCCTATTATGGTTGTAGAAGAGCTAGGTTTAGAGTAATAAGGAAACCACTTTTGTTTTTATACTGCTTGAAAATAGCTTGGCAAAAAAAGCACTATACTCCTAGTTTCCTTGCACCATAACTACTTTTTGAAAAGCTGTGATGGTTATGGATACTGCAGTCCATTTTTAAGTGGTTCTATAGTTTTGTTTACACAGAGTTTTTAACCTTTTAATTAAAGGGCTAATGCTTTAAATTGCAACAAAATCAGAGAATATGAGAACTGTAACCAAAGTCAAGCTACTAAATTTCCTTAAGCTTTTGCCAAATCTCAGTACCCACTGCAGTCTCAATGTTTTGCTCACTTGTGCTATTAAAAAGAGAATCTATACTATTTGCTAGGGATGCACCGAGATTCCGGACGAAAATGGGCATATCCCGTTTCAGCCGAAAATGGGTCAAATCTGCCGAAAATTACACGTGTTGTCCTGCAGTGTGTCTTGGTGCACGTGGAGGCTGTTATCAGTGAGCGCATCCGCGGCTGCTTTCAGTGGAATCAGATTGAGACACCTTCTACCCTGGCAGGGACACCGCTAGCATGACTCCCCGGCCCGCGGCTGCAGGGGCAACATAACATGGTGACTGGCCCGTGGGCCGCCATGTATGTGCTGAGCTCGGCACCATGGAGGCCGCCAGACTGATCGCATCCAGTGAGGATCCCGCCTGCCATGCTGAAAGTGAAGAACAACAAGGGGAGGAAGAACAAGAGGGTGAACAGCAGCGGGGACGAGCAGGAGAATGGGGCCATGGCGGCAGCTGCTGAAGGGACGGCGGCCACCCCGACCTGTGCAGGAGCCGCAACCACAAGCTATGCAACCGGACAGTGTGCTCGGCTGCACAGTCTGCAAACCCCCAAAAAAGTAAGATCCGCCTCCAGAGCACGGCCGTGTCTGGCTAGACAGGGTTAACCATGCATTGACTGAGAGCCACTGACAGTCCTTGGCACAGCTCTCTGGCTGGATGTGGAGCACAGTCCAATGGGGGGCACAGCTCTCTGGCTGGATGTGGAGCACAGTCCAGTGGGGGGCACAGCTCTCTGGCTGGATGTGGAGCACAGTCCAATGGGGGGCACAGCTCTCTGGCTGGATGTGGAGCACATTCCAATGGGGGGCACAGCTCTCTGGCTGGATGTGGAGCATAGTCCAATGGGCGGCACAGCTTTCTGGCTGGGTGGATGTATTGGCTAACATCAACCCAGCAGGACTGAGTTGTCAATCACGCTTGTTCAAAGTCACAGCTTGATGTCATATAAATCATTACTATTTTAAAATCATTTGGATAATAGTCATTTTATGTTTTGTTTTTCGGCCAAGGGCATCCTGAATTTTCACTTTTGGCCCATTCATACTATTTGCATATCAGACTGATCCCACCTATAAGGGCAGTTCAGAACAGCAATGCCAACAAGTTCTCTCTGTACAAGATACAGCAACCCCAACTATTGTTTTGGCCTTCTTTTGGGCCTCATCAGCGAGGTCCCCAAAAGTACCCCATCATAACCAGGAACCCCACAGAAGTTACATCCCCAGATAGCTCTGATTGGAGTGTACAATTTGGCCAAGTATCACTCAGATACATTCAACAGAATTGAATTGCCACCGGGGTAAAGTTTTGACTGGCCGGACACAAGGTGATGGCCCAAAACAATTTCAGGGATATAGGTGCCCCGGCCGTTTTCTGTTCTTCTTGTTTTCAGGAAGCGAATGCTCCCCCCCGCCCCCCCAATTGGTAGTTCCCATCTCCTGAACGTTGTTTGCGTAGTTGGTCGGGAAGTAGGACGGCAGCGGTATAACCTTTACTGGGGTTCGTGCGGGTGCCTAGCCCAAAAGAGTTTCAGGCACTCAACGACCAAGTACCGCTGCCCACGTTCGGGTGGAAAATGGCCGCCACTCTTTTGCTGACCAAGTGTATTCGGTTACACGAAATGGTGGCAACCCAGGGGAAACATATATTATTTACTTCCCTTGTGGTTTCACATTTAAGTTGCAAGGTGAGAACATCTTAATGGGGTACCGGGGTGGTCCTCGTTCGGGAGTCGAATGCATAGTGTTCAGATACCATAACTCCCAAACAGATAAAAAGTAAATGAAATGAAATTAGCAGTATGTTCCGCCACAGATACCGCACTCGTCTAGTAGCCCAGGTGCTCTGGAACCAGGGATGGCCAAGCCCCCCTTCTAGATGTATAAAATAAATAATGGCCCAGGCAGTGCCGGCCTTTGGCGCCCTGTGCGAAAAATCTTCACCACGCCACTCCCTGGTCATAAAGTTTTATGAATAGTGCAAATTTGCAAAAGAAAGCATTGGATTGGCTAAAGTTGGCAAAGAGGTGAGGCCCAACACAGTTTTGGCCAATTAGCACCTCCTCATAGAGATGCATTGAATCAATGCATCTCTATTAGAAAATTTCTGCGTCTTCATGCAGAGCGTGGAGAAAATGGCAGTGCTGCCTACTGTGCAGTACTGCCCCAGGAAGCACCCCTTGTGGCCACTTGGAGGTGTCCCTAGGGGGCAATGTAAACGGCAGTGTTTGCATGAAAATGCCTGAAGGAAATTACTATACTCACCAAAGCCATAGTTGTTCTGCTGAATCTAGTGTCCCTTTAAAGGAACTAGCCATTTATGGTTTCTAACAATTTAGTAGATGTACCCCCAAAGAAAAAAATATGCATGCAATTCTTTGTGCATGTTTTCTTTGTGGATATGTGAAATCTCGGTTTACAATAGCTGCAGATCTAGATTGATTGATTGATTTTACCCTGCTTTGGCACACTTTCCAAAGCAGGGCAATGTAGGTGCGTATGCAAGTTCTTGTTCAAAACCCCTTGGACTTGCAATATGTAGTTCTTCTGTAAAAGCAGACATTGTGTGCATTGAGCCTCTGCATCTGCCCATTAAAAAAAACACACACACCATTAAAGGACCACTATAGGCACCAAGACCACTTCAGCCTAATGAAGTGGTCTGGGTGCCTGGTCCAGCTAGGTTTAACCCTTTTTTCTATAAACATAGCAGTTTCAGAGAAACTGCTATATTTACAATAGGGTTAATCCAGCCTCTAGTGGCTGTCTCATTGACAGCCGCTAGAGGCGCTTCCGCGCTTCTCACTGTGATTTTCACGGTGAGAAGACGCCAGCGTCCATAGGAAAGCATTGAGAATGCTTTCCTATGAGACTGGCTGAATGTGCACGTGGCTCTTGCCGTGCATGCGCATTCAGCCGAGGAGAGGAGGAGGAGAGCTCCCTGCCTGGCGCTGGAGAAAGAGGTAAGTTTAACCCCTTCCTCCCCCTAGAGCCCGGCGGGAGGGGGACCCTGAGGGTGGGGGCACCCTCAGGGCCCTATAGTGCCAGGAAAACGAGTATGTTTGTTTTCCTGGCACTATAGTGGTCCTTTAACCCAGACATGCACTGACTATGCACACTCTCTGATACACATTGACTTGAGTCCTTCACATACAAGAATATTGCGCAAACTACACCCCATATTAGGCTTCTCCCTCTATCATAAACTTTTCGTCTCTCCCTGCTATTTTTTGCTATTC